CCACTGATGGAACTCAACAACCGCCCCCCCCACCTACTGACCCCCATCAACTGCCCACACCAATTGACCCCAAAAACTGCCAATACCAACAACACCCCGAGAATGCCCCCCAACTTACCTGGAGAGGCTGAGGATAAGTCCACAGGTCAGCTCAGCGGCACTGATACTGTTCCCGGTGGGGGTGCTGAGGGGGGATGGGAGACATGTCAGTACGAGGTTGGAAGATGTTCACATATATTACATTTAATGCCCCCCTCACCCCAAAGATTGTACAACTTGATGGTTATCGTGTGTAAATTGTTGTCAGGTGGCCAACCATTCCGATAGATTGACCAGCAATGGATCAGGATTGGACAATCACAGGACACACGGTACAACCATCTTCTGGATCTGACAACGGTTTCATATCCCCCTTTGGTGCCCCCTCCCCTCCCCCACAGGGGGTCCTGGTCATCTTTAGCCTGATTGCCCCGTGTGTGGTGACATGGACTCACGTACTTCATTACAATGATCCCATTCTTGGTGGCGGCATCCACATCCACATTGTCCACTCCGGTCCCGGCTCGTCCAACCACCTTCAGCCTCCTGCCGGCGCTCAGGACCTCCACGCTTACCTTGGTGGCTGACCGTACAATGAGCCCATCATAGTCCTGTGGGGACAGAAAGGGACAGGCCGCCATGATGGAATTCAGAGACCTTCACAACCCAACCAATGTCCACAAAATGATACAATGGACGCCATCGGGAGAACCTTCTAGAAGAACCAACCAAAGAACTTCCCAATGTCGGAACAACATGACAGTCCTAGATCCCGGACACTGCTAACTCCGCCCACAGTCTATATTTCCGGGTGGCCATGACCAATTAAGTCAAGTTTATGGATTGGCAACCTTGACCCCGCCTCTAAATATGAAGTAGCCATCTATCTCATCTATTTTAGAGGCTGCTTCCGCCCAGTCCCTGCCTCGAAATATGCAAGGACTGCCCACTCACACTCAATCCCTGCAAAAGGGGGCTTTTGGAGTCAATAGGTGTGCTCAGTAACTGAAATAAAGTTGGTGCCGTGATCCCGGGACTCCTCATGGGTGGGACAGACAGGCAAGATGAAGGACTTTCCCAGCAAACCCAGGACATGCACGATGGATCGAGTGTGACCAAACATAAATCTCCTTATACACCCCAGACACACGGAGAGAGGCACACACCCACAACATGACATCATCTCCAGGGGGAGGAGTACTCCATTCTGAAGGGAGAGGTTAAGGGCCCTTTAAGAAATCATAGAGCTGAAATTGTCTGATTTTGTTCCATCGTCTTCATTGCCGAAACATCCAATGAGAACCTACCCAACCCCCACCCTGCCTACAGGCTGATCTCCTCATTACCGAGATCTCAACAACCTAGATTAGGATCCTAAAACCTGCCAAGACTACAAATCTCTGTTTCTGTTCTGTATGCATGGAGTCTGCAGAGTATCACTTCTCTTGTCCTGTATGCCTGGTATAATTCTCAGTATCTGTTCTTCCTCAGACGGGAGTTACTGAGTGACAAACAGCCATTGTAATGGCTTCTGCTGTTAAAAGGAGAACTATGGGGCGGG